GCCCGCCCTGGGGAATCCTGCCCAGAAAGTCCCCAGTTGTGCCCACAAAGGACGGGCCTGGATTGCTTGGCGGCTGGTAACCAGCTCCGATGCGGGTCTGCTGGAAGAGATCATGAGGTGCTCCCCACAGAGGAGGGTGCGTGAGGGAGCTAGAGGCTGGCAGTGCCAGGGAAGTGTGTCAGGGCGTTGGAGGGGCCACCTGCCGCCACCCTGTGCCCCGCAGCCCCCCTCCCATGCACATTCCGGGCCTGCCTGCCCGTCCCCAGCTGCACGGCCCTGTCCTGATGCCATTCAAGCCCTGGGCCTGACCTGCAGGGTGGGGACCTTGGCAACCCAGAACCCCTAGAGGGGGAGGAAGGAACAAGTGCAGGAAATTTCTGGTGAGGGCATTCCCATGTCAACCACCAGGTGGCGACATCGGCACAAGACAACCCCAGGGCTGCCCAGCTGGCCAGGAGGAGGTGGGGGCACAAGGGCAGGACTTGTGGCTCTGGCACGGGCGCCTTGGGGTCCTCCAGCAATTAGCCTCTCCACTGGCGTCATCTTTTCCAGGACACACCTGTGTCAAGGGCCCGAATCCCGCAAAGTGTATGGTGCCCATGGAATGAGTGTTGACGAGGGGCCACCTCAGTAGTTTGTGTCCAGATGGTCAGGATGGACATTAGTGTGGCCGGGTTGGGGGCGGGGCAACAGCAGCCCTAGAGGCCAAAGGCTTGTCTAGCCACCGGCTGGTGTCTGTGGGGAAACCCTGGACTCTGGTCCCGGGCGGGCCTCTGATCTCTGGCCTCCAGGGCTCCTTTGCTGTACTCCTGTCCATCACTAAGTCTGTGAACGAGGGCTGTGATGCCAGCCCTGACTGAGAATCGTGGGCTACAGGGGCACACAGTGGGCAGCACAGTCGCAGGAGCCGGAGTCCCTGTCCTGCTGTGTCCTCCTTGGGCAAGTGGCTTGTGTTCTCTGAACTTCAGTCTCCTTTTCTGTTAGTTAGGGGCGATGACAACACCTTCCACACAAGGTTTCTGTGAGGACGTGACAGATCTTAGAACTCCTCTGACATGAAACGACGCCTAAGAAACAGCCAGAAGTACAGGGCAGCCTGATCTGAGGAGGACTCGGGGATCGGCCAGGCCGGGCTCAGGAACCTCCCATCCAGCGAGGTTTGCTTGCCTCTAGTGACAGAGAGCTCACCCCCTCCCAAGAAAGGAGGTCATCCACTGTCAGTGGGCTCAGCTTAGATTGGTGTCCTTTCCTGGAGTCACAGCTGGTTCTCGGCCTTGTCTGTGGCCTAGTGTTGGGCTCAGGAGGGTCAGGACCACCCACCTGCAGGGCAGCTGGGTGGGGCAAGAGGGAGTGCTCCCGGAGGACAGGGGAGGCTGCCTTCTCCATTCTAGGGCACCTGGGAGGAAAGGAACCGGGAGGTACCCTTGAGGCCCTCCGCAGAGAGGCCCCAGGACCTGAGGAAAGGATCCCTCTGTCTCGGCCACCAGGCCAGGGTCTTGCTGATGGCTCTCTCGGGCTGTGTCTGGGAGGGGAAGGAGGTGACTTAGGAAGCCAAGCCGGGAGGGAGGGCCCAGCCCCCACTTCTGCTTCCTGTGCACCTGAAGAGGAAGCTCCCGGAGCCCAGCCCGGGTGGGGCCTCTGCCGCCCTCTCTCAGGCATTTGGAAATCATGTGTGGGTGGCCTCGGTTTCCCTCCAGAGATGGCTGTTCTGTACCCCGCCACTGGCACACAGAAGGCACCCCCACAAATGAACGTCCCTGGAACTAAGCCGAACACGGAGAGGCCAGCCGTCGTGGTCCCGTGTGAAAAGTCTTAGTTTTAGTGTAGAGGAGGCCGCCGGGGACTTCAGGAGGACACCTGTGCTTCCCCCATTCCCACTCGACTTCCTTCTCCTTCAGGGCTGCCACCTCCTCCACGCAGCCCTCCTGGGCCCCTCTCTCCCTTGCCCTGGATCATTCCCTCTTTCCCCTGGTGTCCCTCGGGGTCCTGTGTATTCCTCTCCCACTGAGCGGGACCAAAGTGGTGGTTAACCATTAGTTTATGCCTGTGCCTCATCTTCCTCACGTGTCAGCCAGAGAGATTGGAGTGCCTACCTCGGGACTCTGTAGTCCTCTGTAGGGCTAAGTTGATCAAGAGATGGAAAGTGCTTGAACAGGCAGGCTCGGTGGAGCACATCTGTAATCCCAGGCGTCTGGGAGGCTGAGGCAGGAGGATCATGAGTTCAAAGCCAGCCTCAGCAACTTAGCAAGGCCCTAAGCAACTCAGTGAGACCCTGTCTCTAAAGAAAATATAGGGCTGGGGATGTGGCTCAGTGGTAGAGCACTTGCCTGGCATGTTCGAGGCCCTGGGTTCGATTCTCAGCACCACATAAAAATCAATAAAATAAATGTCCATTGACAGCTAAAAAATATTAAAAATTAAAAATAAAATAAAATATAAAAAAAGAGCCGGGGGGTGGGGGCTGGGGTTGTGGCTCAGTGGAAGAGCGCTCACCTAGCTCATGTAAGGCACCAGGTTTGATCCTCAGCACCACAAAAAAATAAATAAAATAAAGGTGTGTGGGGGGGTGCTGGGATGTGGCTCCGTGGTTAAGCACATCTGGGTTCAATCCCTGGTACCAAAAAAACAGAGCAAAACAAAAGTGCTTGAGCAGTATGTGGCATTTAGATGCTGTCCCCAGTTGCCCTCCATTACTAAATTGGACTGGGATCATCTCTGTCCCCTCTAGACACGGGTTCCTCCACGCCAGGGCCTTTCCTTTGTGCATCCTGCTGGGAGGCCAGTGCCGTGCCCAGTGTGAAGGGCAGACAACTGGACCCAAGCCAGCAGTGGAGAGGTGCTGTTCGCGACCTCGCCTACTCTGTGACAGCGTGGCGCGGGGCTACGCCGCCTCGGTGGCCCGCTGGGGATCCACACAGCCGGTTTCTCTCTCTGCTGCTCCTCAGCTTCAGGCCTCTAACCTGCGAATTCACAGCTCTGCAAGGTCACAGGGGAGGAGAGGAGACGAAGCTGGCCCAGCTTGTCCCTGCTTGGCAGCCCTTGGGTAAGAGACGATGGGAAGTTGAGTTTCTGTTGTGCCAAGGTTTTATTTCCGTTATCCTGGTTCCTGTGGCTGACCAGGAGACCCGAGGCCCTGGCCCACAGCCGCTCTCCAAGAGGCCATGTGGCTGCCGAGTGGCTCAGAAACTCAGGACTTGAGCCTCCCCTCTGCAGGTGTATTTGTGCTCTGTCACCCATGGCCTGCCTGCTGGTGTGGGCCTCCTCCTGCCCCACCTGGAGGCCAGCCAGCCCCTCTCGGCCAGGCGGGAGCCTCCTGTGTGCCCGCGCCGGACAGGCAGCCCCTTCACTGCAAGCCAGGAGGGAGATGCTTCCCCGCATCTCAGGCTCAGTCATCCGTGCAAAGCCGTCACAGTATGAAGACACATGGGAGGTGAAGGAGGTGGGACCCAGGTGCCGAGGAGGTCAAGGTCCCCAGGAGCTCGGCTGATCAGGCTGCCGCGTGTCCGCCTGGGAGGTAGAGCACTCCAGCGACAGGCAGGAGCAGCAAGCTGGCACCTGGGCAGGTGCGGGGGCACTGCCAGTGTCAGAGGAGCAGGGTTTCGTGTTCATGCAGCCTGGCACTCGGCCACCTCCCCGTGCCAAGTTGTAACGAGACTCGCAGAGGCACAGCCCGGTGCCTTTAAAACGCTCCCTCTGCGCGCCGCGGCATTAACATGACGTCTATCACCATGGCATCGAGGTGCTTAGACAACCTGCTCCCCCCAGGAGCTGGGGAGCAGCAGGAAGCAGATTATCTGTGTCTCGCTGTGACACACGCGATCATGTATCACGGTGATGGATCAACAGTCAATACCGCCGGGTCCCGGCCCGCCCTCGTGCGCTGGAACGTCTCGCGTTCATCCGTCTTCCTCTCCTGGGGGTGGCCCTGCTCCTGCCTGCCATCCTCCTGTGCTCCTGGTGTTGGCGGGAAGCACCTTTGGGCTGTCATGGATCACGTGCAAAGTGGCCACGGGGAACGCATGGGAGCAAAGCCCTGGCAGGGCCCTGCTGTGACATCCTGGGGGCTGCAGCCAGGAGACCCAGCTGTGTTCAGGGGCAGCGGGGCTGGAGGAGGCCCCGGCACCTCGCAGCCTGGCCTTGGATTCTGGCCCCTCCATCTGCCGTGGTCTTGGGCAACTTGCTTCAGCTCCTCATGGGTACAGTCTCCTTTGTGCAGTTGAGAACAGCCTCTTCTTGGGGGGGTTGGTGGGCGCTGATGGAGGTGAGCACTGGCGGGTGGCACAGTGCACTCGGAGGCCAACTTCATCCCACCCACGCACCCCACCCTGGGTCGCTTCCCTCTGCCACTCCAGACGCCCACCTCATCCAGCCCAGCAGTGGCTCCAGGGTGCCAAGGGGGCAGGCCTCCCAGTCTGCTGGGGGGGACCCAGGCAGCAACCTTTCTCTGCCGCCAGGCGCCGCCAGGCCAGGCCAGGCCAGAGCTGCAATGGGCTGCGGTGGGGGAAGTAGCGGGGAGTCTCACGGTGGGGGGATGGAGTGAAGCCACCGGGAGGCATCCCCTGGGCCTCTGCCAGAGGCCCCAGAGGCCCTCCCTGGGCTAAGGACGGCAGCCTGTCTTTCAGCCCCCGCAGATGCTGGGCCTTGTCCACAGCTGAGAACGTGGGGCTGTCCCCTAACCCTCGCAGCCTGCCCCTCCTCCACCAGCCTCCTATCTCCCCAACCACTCACACCCCCACCGAAAAAGCCCACTCCTCAGTAGCACATTATCAAGGGTTCCCGGATTCAAAGGGGAAGTTCTTGTGGACGAGCTTGTGGTTGTTTAAAAAGTGTTTCAGAAATGAGGTGCTACCCCGGACCTGAGGTCACCCACGGAAACCTGGTTACCTCCTCTCTATGGCCCGGCTGGGAGGGGCTGAGGAGGGCGGAAGCCTCCTGGGGAGGCCCGAGTCCCCGCCCCAGCTCTGCTCTGCCTGTGTGACCTGGCCGAGTCCCAGACTTCCCATCTGTCGCCACCCCCACTGTTAGAGAGGAAATTCGGGTGATGGCCAGGGGTAGCCAAGGGCGGCCTTGAGGAAGCAGAAGGGTGATCAGGGAGGAGCTTGTGGAACACGAAAGGGAACCGTGACTGCCGCTGTGGGCCGTGCCCTCCTGGGAACTAAAGAGGAAGGAGGGACATTGACCAAGGAAGCCCGGGATGCAAAGCCGGCTTCTGTGGTGGCAGGCCGCGGCGGGCCCCCTGCACCCTCCTGGCTGCCCCATGGCTTCCCGGATCCTGGGGTGGCTCCTGGTGCCCTGGACCTTGCAGCTGGCAGGTACCGTCTGTCTCCTCTCGTCGCCCTCCTGTGGGTGACAACAGCCGGAGCGCTGGCTCCCTGGCTCCCTGGGACCTGTCTCTGGGGATTTGCTGGTTGCTGATTGCACATTGCAGACTTCACAGGGGACCCTTCAGGGACCTAGAAGATGTCTAGCTAATGCCTTGCCCAGGTGGCTTTTGGAGGGCCGGGAACAGCACTGTCCCCCTTGTGGCTGTGTTACACCCCCCTCCCAGCATAGCAGGGCCTGCTGGCCTTAAACAAGGAGGGTGGGCGATGGGTGTCAGGGTGGGGCCCGGGTCCTGGGGAGGGACAGCCTACAGCCTCAGGACTGTCATGTGGCTGTTGGGTTGGACCTGGCAAGCAGCCCGAGCCTGCCTGGTCTGTCGCTGACACTGATTAGCGAGGGAGAGAAGGGGAGGCCAGCTGCCAGCCGCCCAGAGCACGGCACCCTGGGGTACAAAATTGTCACTGTGACGGGAGAGAGTGGCCCCTCCCACTTCTTGTAGTACAACCCAAAGCCAAGTGTTTTACAACAGGCGTTTGCTTCTCCGGGGGCCACTGCTGCTGCCCCTTCCTGGTCCCAGGCTCCCCCAGAAGTTGGGTGGCCTGGATCCAAACCAGGCGTTAGGGTGGGTTTCCTGGGGGCCGTTCACCCAGGCGGCGGGGGTCTTCCGGAGTGTCCTCTCCAGGGCAGCCTCCCTGGGTCCCTCAGGCTCCCTGTGGCTTCCTGGCAGCACTGAGGAACTTCTGCCAGATTTCCTCGGGTCCTTCTTTGGCCTGGGCACAGCTGGCCCGTGGCCCACGGTGGTCACCCCTCTGTGAAGGTCAGGGGCTTTTCCTCTGTATTCGCTTTGATTTTTCGGAGGCTTCGGGGAGCGAGCGTTTATACCACGATCGTCCGAGGGTCAGATCCGCCTCTCTCAGGCCCTCAACCGGCGGCACCCCGTCCACCCTCACCACACCCTGTGGGGTACTTAGTGTCCTCCCCAGCACCATTTCAAAGACAGGAAAATGGAGGTCCAGGGAGGCCAGTGACCTTGCCCAGGGCCTAGATGCAAGTAGAGGTCGGGCTCTGACCCCAGTCACTTCAGCCCCAGCCAGGACCACTGGCCACGGGCTCTGGGGCTCCCCCCAACATATGGCAAAGAACATTCTCCACCCAAAAAAATGAATTTACCCTGAGGAGGCCAGGGCCGACCTGTGTGTCTCTACAGTAGGCTGGGCCCAGCCTGCGACCTGTGCGTCCCACGTTGCCCCACACACCAGATGGGTGCCAAGAGGACCAGCCTGGGGACCGCTGCTTGTTGGTGACAAGGCTTTCCAACTCCCACTTGGTCCTCTTCATTTCCCCCAGTCCCCATCATGTTCCCTTTGCGTGGTCTCCTGCCCTGAAAGACACCTGGCACACGCTGTCACTGAGTCCCGAGGCTTCGCCAGGCGCTGGGGCCGCAGCTGCCTCTGTGGAGAAGCTCTTTTGTAACAGTGGGAACCAAAGCGGACCTTTTGCCCAGGATTGCAACAAACGCTGCACCGCAGAGAAACTCTGCCTGCTCTTTCACAAGAGGGGAAGGTCCCCGGAACCCACTGGGGCAGCACAGGGCACCCCACTTCATCTATCTGCGGCTCCATGCCCTTCCCCCACACTCCTGTCCCAGGCTTCTGCTTGAGGCTGACAGCAGGAATCCTGCCCCCTCCTCCAACCCTCCCCAGTGCCCACGCAGACGGGCCTGCACCCCTCACTGTCCACCCCTCGCTGCGTCCTGCCGGAGGGGGCGTGGTCAGTGTCCTCACTGAGGTCCAGGTTCAGGATGCAGGGTTCAGTTGCTAAGGCTGGCCTCCAGCTCGCAGTCCTCCTGCCTCAGTCTCCTGAGTCTCTGGGATCATGATCCAGGGTTAAGAGCATGAGCCAGGGACATTCAGCCTGAGTTCAGTCTGAGCCGTACCTCTTGCCCTGGGACTCTGAGCAGGTTACTTAATGTCATTGTGCCTTGATTGGCTCATCTGTTGAATGGGTACAATAATAAGGCCAAGCCTGCTGTTTGGGACATCAGTATTGTCAGCTGCCTGCCAGCCTGGCACAGCCAATGGAGACTCAGGACATCTTGGAGAGCCCACAGACTCCGGCCTGGTGGTCTCCAGCCTACCCTGGCATGGCCCTCCTCCTCCTCCTTCTCCTGGGTGAGCTGGGACTCGGGTCTGTGACCCTCGGGCCTCTTCAGCCCTCGGTGATTTCTGTGTCTCTCAAAGGCTCTGGCAGCCACAGGCCATCTGGTTTCATGGGCAACTGCTCCCCCCAGAGGGGAACTACCTGAGCCAGAGGCCCAGCTTCTCACCCTTTTCTGCCAGGCCTCAGATATCCCCAAGGACTTTGGGGCCAGACAACCTGAGTTCAGAGCCTTCTCTTGTCTCTTGACGGCTGTGTCACCTCAAACAATTTGCTTAACCTTTCTGGTCCTCGGTGTCTTCAACAAATATCGGTTCCTTTTCTTCTTGGCCTTTCCAGAACTCTGGGCTATATTTATTTATCAAATATCCATTGAGGAGGACCAGTTCAAGGTGCTGGAGGGGCCAGCGGAGAACAAGCCACAGGCCTCACTCTCAGCCTGGTGAAACAGCGAGAAGGACCCTGAGAACGACCCTGGGTGGAATTCGCCTGAGGGGGTTTGCCTCTGTGGCAGCCCCTTTGTTGTCTGAAAGGTGGACGATGCTCTGCCTTTTACAGGCCAGGGCTTCCTGCCTCCCTTCTCGCCGCCGGCCTCCCTCACTGCTGGCCTCTGCTTTCATCTTTGTCTAATCCCAATAAAGAGCTTGGGAAGCAGAGGCGGGCGCGGACTGCAGGGCCCTGCTGGAGCGCGGCCAGGGAGCGCTGGGAAGGCCGCCGGCTGGAGGGGCACCGGTGGCAGGCCCAGCGTGAACAAAGGCAGGGAGGCCAGAAGGCAGGGCCGGGGGAGGACCGGTGAGAGGTTCCGTCTGACTGGAGAGTCTCTTGGCAGAGCAGTGGGAGGCCGCATCGTTTCCAAGCAGATTACAGACGCCTGTCAGGTGGGGTTCAGACGCTGTCCCCGCAGCGCCTGTCCTCCTTGCTTTCTGCGTTGTGACTGTGAAATGTGAAACACATACAGAAAAGTCCTGTGCTGAATATGAACACTTCACAGTCCTGTGTGACTACGAGGAGGTCAGAAAGAGAACAGTCCAGGTCATTCCAGAATGTTCCAGAACATTCCTCCAAAGACACCCTCTTGAGGGTGGTACCTCCCCTCAGAGGCACCAGCCTCCTGACTCTTGGGGCATTTCTTTATAGCTTTTCTATCTAGTGCGTGTCCCTAAGCCATAGGGAGGAGTTGGCCTTTCATGTGTGTGTGTGATGCTAGGGATGAGGTGAACCCGGGTCTCACAGGTGCAAGGCAGGCCCCCCACCACTGAGTCAGGCCTCCAGCCTCGTGCGCTGGTTTGAACTTTGCATATCTAGGAACACTGCGTGTATTCTCTGGTGATGCGCCTCTTGGTTCAACATTTATGCTTTTTAAGGTGCATCTAGTTGATGGTACGTTTGTTTTCACGGCCGCAGAAATAGCAAACCATGGCCTGTGCCTAAATCCAGCCCGTTGCCTCTCCTGAGTTGTGGGTGGCTTTTTAAATATTTTTAAATAATTGAAAAAAATCAAAAGATGAATACTTGATGGTGTGAAATTCTACAAAATTCAAATGGCCACATCCACCAATAAAGTTTTATTGGAACATGGCCACCCTCATTTGTACCTAGGTCACCCAGGGCTGCCGCTGTGCTATGGTGACGGTTGAGTAGTTGTGGTGCAAGTGACAAGGTCCTCAAAGCCTGCAATGTTTGCTACCTGGCCCTGTTCAGAAAACAGCTTTGGACTCTCGATGCAGAGTATCCTGCCCAGTAAATATACGGCCATTCCCCCAGTAATCCTGGTGTCCCAGGGCTGCCTGTCCAGGGCTATGAACACGTGTGCATGTTAGGTGACTCTGGGGTGTGTTTCCAGTGTAGCTGCTCCTCCTGTGTGGAGAAGAGTGTCCCTGGGGCAGGGATTCTGTGGACTCCAGCCTGGTGCCTGGCACCAGCTGATGCCCAGGACAGAGTAACAAGAGTTACACAGTCAGACAGCCCCAGGAGGTGCCCTGAGCAGGGTCCAGATGCGATGCCCTGGGGGATTGACAGGGTGTGCCCTCCAGCCAAACTCCTCAGGGTCCAGCAGCTGGCCCTGCCACCCCCTCCTCTAGGCTCAGGATCCTCACAGGTCAAAGGTCTGCCCGTGGCCTTCCCACACCTCCTACAGGTGCCAGTGACCACTGTCCCTGGACACACCTAGGCTATATCTAGACGGCTTCAGAACAGGAGGTGCTGAGGGCTGGGCCAGGCCTGAGTCTAACCTCTGAGGTCGAGTTTAGCACAGAGCTAGGCACAGACCAGGGGCTGCAGGTCCAGGGCTAGAGGGTCCCTGGCCAGGTGCATTAGGGGAAAAGACAGGTCTAGGTGATCATTCGGGTGAGATAGGGTCCCTATCCACTCTGGATCTCAGACTCCTTTCTGAGTTGGACAGAATACAAAGTTCCTTGTGTATTGTAAGCATATATAATTTTTAATTTTGGGGGGTGCTGGTGACTGAACCCAGGGCCTTGCTCACACTAGGCAAGTGCACTGAGCCGCCCCAGCCCCTGCCCCGCGTGTCTTGTGTGGGAGAGTAGTCACGGCGTCTGGATAAACGTGGGTCTAGAAACAAAATCTGACATTTCCCCTGTTCCTGGTGGACCTAGGTGAGGCCCTGGAGCATGGGAATCTGGCCGGTGGACACTGGGTGAGGCTGAAGCCAGAGGAAAGGGAGGGGGTTCTCCAGGTGAGCCTGGGGCAGGGGGACAGAAGCTGGATTGTCCTCACCTGTCCTCAGGTGAGGACAGCCTGAACGTCTGGATGTGAGTCCTAGGAGACTTTAGCCAAGTCACCTGGCTACTCTGAGCCTCCTTTGCCCACACTGTTGAGGTCCCCACATCCTCTCACGCAGGCCTCTTGCCAGCACAAGAAGGTATATCCAGCTCCACTCATGGCCTCAGGGACCAGCACCTGTGACCCTCGGGGGGGTCTTGAGGCCTCAGCTGTGGGTACAGGGTTCCTGGGCAGGGCGAGTGGTGGGACTTGGTGCTCACCTCTCCGGGGCAGGTGAGTGTGTGCCCTGCCAACCTGGCTCCTTGGACCCCAGCAACTGCCCCCTGCCACCCACTCCTCTGGGCCTGGGGCTCAGGATCCTCACAGGTCAAGGGTCTGACCATGGCCTTCCCACACCTCCTACAGGTGCCAGTGATGCACTGTCCCTGGACACACCCAGGCTGTGCCTAGATGTTGTCAGAACAGGAGGTCCTGGGAGGGCTGGGACGGGCCTGAGTCTAATCTCTGAGGCTGAGTCCAGCACAGGGCCAGGCACAGACGGGGCTGCAGGTCTAAGGCTGGAAGGCCCCTGGCCAGCTGTGCTGTGGGGAATCTTGGCTGGGACTTGGGAACTCCTGGCTTCTGAGGGTCTGTTGGATGAGTCACGGTGCCTGGGGGCTTCATTCTAGGGCTGGGGGTTGTGCAGGGTGCCTGGAAGAGCCAGGAGAGGTGGCCTGGTGGGCCTGGCTGGGACTTGCTCTCCTGCCCAAGGACTGTGTATGATGGCTCAAAAGAGGGGGCCCAGAGCCAGAGCCTTGGGGACTCAGGGCCAGGCACTGCTGCCACTGAAGGGCTACGGGAAGGGGGACACTGAGCTGAGGCAGGGGTGCCTCCCACCAGGTGGGCCAATCCTCACATAGTCGGGAGGACCCTGGGCTGCAGTGCTGGTCACAGGGTTGACAGGCACATTTCTGAAGACCACTTGGCAGCACATCAAATTTAAAACATGAGTATCCTTTAATCAGCCCTTGTCCTAAGCAGCCAGGGGACCAGCAGACAGTAGGTCCACAAAGCACCACAAAGCCAGTGGAAAGCATCCTGTGGTCAGCCTGGGGGTAGGGTAGGGGTAGGGTAGGGGTGTTGGCAGATTGGGAACGAGGTGTACAGCCTCACTGCCACCAGCCGCCCCTTGTCAACCCAGCTGTCCTTTCCTCCTGGGCAGCTCCCTATGCCAGGCCTGCTCTTCAGTGGCCGGCTGACCCCCCTCCCTGGAGAATCCAGCCACATCCCTCCCTGAGCCTTTGTTCTACTGCTCCCTTGGCCTGGAAAGTGTCCTGTCACCTGGTGACCTCTAAGGTCTCTGTCAAGGTCATCGCATAGGCTACCTTCTCTATGGTGTCCCCTGGCCCTTCTCCCAGCCCCTGACAAACCTGATCTCCACTCCTTTGCTGCTTCCCCACGGTGTTCACCTGTGGCTCTCAGAGGTGCCTGGGGAGTGACAGAGGCCTCCAGGGGCAGGTGAGGCTATGGGCCGAGCCAAGGATCATGCACCCAACCTCAGGGATGGGCTGTGTAAGGAAAGCCAGAGATGCCGCGGAGCCCCACGGGGCAGGGGTCTGCTGGCCTCCTTGGTGGCAGCAGAGGCAGCCAGTGGAAAGCATCCTGTGGTCAGCCGGGGATAGGGTCGGGGGTTGGCAGGTTGGGGACGAGGTAGGAGGGAGGGCAATTGAGAGTTTGTGCCCAGGCTGCAGGATCCTGGGGAGCGGCTGGGATTGAGACATCCTAGGACCGAGAGGCACAGGCGCAGAGAGTAGAGGAGACAGAGATTTCTCCTGTTCTTTTTCTAAAATGCAAAGGCTGTCACGCCACCTCCCAGAGGAAAATCCCTCGGAGGCTCCACCAGATTCCCAGGAGGCCCACCTCCCACCTCTCCAGCACCTCCTCGCCCTGCCCCCAGCCACAACACCTTCTCCCAGCTACCTGCTCTGCAGATCCCGACTCCCTGCCCTGTGTCGAGACTTCCAGAAGCTTCACCCAAGAGCTTTCTTGTGCTGAAAGTTCTGCTCCACGCCCCTCCCCCACCTGGCTGCCTCCCTACTCTTTCTTCCTTCAAAGTTCAGCGTGGTAAAGAGATGGGAAAGAAAGACATCAAATGTGCACAGCCGCTCTGTCAGGGGGGTGAGCTGCAGACAAGCCCACCTTTCTTCTGATCCTTCCCTGTGGTTTGCAGAATCTCTACGGTGAGCCCATTTCACTCTTGTAGGGGAAGGAGACAGGGTGGGAGGTGGGATGGACTGAAGAATTGTAATTAAAAAACAAAAACCAATGATCCAGTCCAGGGTCTCCTCCCCAGGAAGCCCCTTCCTGCTCCCAGGCTGATGGGGGGTCCCCCAGGGCTTTCCTTTATCCCAGAATGTTCCAGTTCCATCAGTCAAGTCCTTCCCAGGGGTGGGACTGTGGGTGGGCACCCACTCCCCACTGAAGGGTGCACCCAAGGGAGTCTGTTCCATGTCAGCTGCCCCCATTCAGAGACAAGAAGCAGAGCCCTGCCCCCAGCCCTCTGGACGCAGAGGTGGGCACAGAGACACAGTCCCCGCGGGGCCCAAGCCACCCTCTCAGAGCTCACCTCCCAAGACGACTGGAGGGGAGGTGGCGGCAGTAAATCCCCACTTGGCACCTGTGGAGTTTATACAGGACCAGACCTTTGACAGTCCACGCATGGTTTGTGTTCCCTCGTGGCCACCTTGTGCCATGGGTTCCAGAGCTGGAGGTACAAGAGTGGGACCCAGCACCGCTGTGCGAAGGACCCAAGCCAGCTACATCTGTATGCGGCGCTGTGATTCAGAGGTGTTGAAAGACGTGACAGCCAGTCTGAGGGCGCCATTCCGAGGCCACTGGCGCTAAAACCCTGTAAGACACACTCCATTCAAAGGTGGCTTGCCCCTCCTGCGCCAGTCGCTTGGCCATGTGCCCACATTTGACGCCTGTGTCCTGAACAGCCTGCGGGGGTTTCTGTGGCATCCTGGGACTCGGGCTCGGGCACATGGCAGCAGCTCTGGATAAACCAGGAGCCTGGTCGGTGTCCTCCCAGGGGCCCTTCAGAAGGGCTTTTAAAAAGGCCCCGCTTCAAGAGATGCCAAAATTAAATTGGAGGGCAAACACCAGGCCTAAAATAAAGACCGTGGGAACGGCTTTCTTCTGTAGCCGGGGAATCAAAGAGTTTTCCTTTAAAATCGACCTAGGTCGGGATGCATCCCTTTGATCAGCACGCCTGGGCCCTGCTCCGCGCTGTAGAAGGGATTGCGGTCCAGGAAGAGCGGGAGCTGGGCGAGAGCTGCTGGATTTGAGCAGCTTGCCAAGGAGGCCAGGGCAGCTGGGGCGGAGGAGGAGGGGGAGATCCTGGGCCACGGGGCGTTCCTTAAGCGCTTATTGAGCATTTTCAGTTACCTGTACCGAGCGACTCAGGTGTGCATTCCTCTGCAGCAAGGGAGGGGCGCCACCTGGCCCTCTAGGGACACTCTATCTGCTCCTGCTCTGAGAGTCGCGGGCTGTACTTGAGCCAGGGTGACAGTAGCAACCCCCTAATGCTGCAGGCTTTGTTCTGAGTACCGCTGTCCCCAAACACCTGCATGTTGCCAGCCATGTCTGCCTATGAGATGACCCACATTCAGGGAAATGGCCTCTGAATTTTTAATTCTCTTTCAGGGAGGTATTTCTTTTTTCTTTTCTTCATTTGAGAAGTTTTCGTTCTGATTGCTTGGAGATTTTAAAAACTGTAGCCCAGAGCAGTGGAGAGGTGTGTGGGGTGACACGCTCAGAGAGACCAGCCCAAAATCCCATCTCCACCGCTTGCCAGCCGCTCGGCAAACCTCATCCCTTGTCTGAGCCTCAGTTTCCTCATCCAGAAAAGGGGACCGTGCCCAGGGGAAGTTAGCTCTCCTCATCACGTGGCCTCAGAATGAAGCTGGAGAGTGTGCTTTGTGCTCGGGAGCCAGGCACCCAGGAGTGGCGCAGGGAGCCTCCCCTGGAGACGGAGATGGCCTCAAAGAGGGGACCTGGGAGAATGTTCCCAGCAGAGGAATAGCTTGAGTAAGTGAGGGACAGCGGGCAGCTGGGCAGGGCTGTGCGGGGCCTGGGAGCCGTGGACTGGATCCTCTGGCCCAGGGACTTTCTATTTTTTCCAATAGTGGCCCAAAGTTGAGAGAAGTGTGTTTTAGCGTGATCCTGTCTGAGCCCAGTTGTATGAATATAACTGAAAGCAGAAGGTCACAAATGGTGATCTTGCTATGCTTGAAATGCTCCATGTTCAATTTTTTTTTTAATTGCTTGTCTTGACCCTGTAAATTGGTTTCAGACTCCTTTCTGGGTCTCCTCCAGCAGGGAGCCGCTGCCGGTTCAAGCAGGGCAGGAGTACGATGGGTGTGGGGACCTCTCCCAGAAGCTCAGAGCCCAGCAGAGAGGGCTGCCTGGGCCCGGGGCTGGGTGGGGCCCCGAGGAAGGCGGTATCGTGCCAGGGCGGGAGGTCAGATCCTGAGCAGGGGTGACCAGAGGAAAGCTGGTGCAGATGGCCACACACCGGGTGGGGGGAGGGGCCAAGTTCCTTGATTGTGCATCCCGATCCCTCCACCAGGGACTCACCTGGGCGGTAGCCGTCAGGGGCGTACCCACGGGGGCTCCACCCAGCACTCACAGCAGTTCAAGGAGCCTCAGACTCATAAGGAGAACCGGAAAAGGAAGAACCCGGCAGCAGCGGGTGGTAGATGGTCTTCCCACCATGGCAGAGCAGGCGCGACCAGGAGGGGCAGGGGAGGGGGCTCTGCCGCTCAGGCTACACCGCAGGGGGAGGGGGAGCCGGGGTCACACCCAGGGTCAGTCAGACAGGGCCTGAGGTGGCAGACAAGCCCGGGCAGAGACAGGCCCCTGGGGCTTCTGTCCTGCCTATGTTGTGGGCCACTTGGGTCACTTGGACAGACAGGGCAGGACAGCTTCTGCAGAGAGCTCCGACGTCCCCGCCTCCTCCCTGTCTGCTGAGGGGAGGCAGCCGGGCCTCGTGGCAGGCACGTGAGTTCCTGGTCCCAGTGAATCCCACAGGAACCCCCTCAGGATGCCATTGTTCCTCTCCCTGTGTTGCAGGGAGACACCAAAGCTCAGAGAGGTAAAGGCTATGCCCAAGGCTGCACAGCCTTTTAGTGGAAGAGCGGGCACCGAAATCTGCGTCTGCTGCCTTCGGAACCTGGGCTTTCTGTGCCTCTTCTGTCCCCGCCCCATTTCTGGCCCAGCTCCAGGCTTCCTCTCCGCCTCTCCTGAGCCTTGGAAAATTGCAGAGAATCGCGGGGTAGAGGAGGTGTCATCCCTGAGGACTCCTGAAACGTGGTTGGGCAGGTTTAGCGGTGGCCGGGGCTGCCAGCCGGGGCACCTCTGCTTGCAGCCGGGTGGGGGGTGAAGTGGGGGAGGAAGGATTGAGGCCAAGCAGGACTAGCAAAGCTCCGAGGGCAGGGCCGGGTGGTGGCGCTGCGGAGGGTAGGCCCTTGAAGGCGCCACGACACAAGCATTTGCTAGCCCTGTCTCTGTTTGGCTCTGTCCCCAGCCTCCCCCTGCCCCTGTCTCCCAAGGCCCTCACCCACAAGGTGCCTCCTCCCCTCTCGGCCCTGTGCCCCCTGCACCTGACCTTCAAGTCGCTCCCCCTCTCCTTTCCCTACTTGGGCTGTGGAAGGAGCAGCCGGCAGGGGCGCTGTCCTCACTCCCCACCCCGCCCCCTCCGGGCCCAGTGCCTGCCAATCTCGGACCCCTCCAGACAAGGCTGTGGGTGGAGGTTCCTCCCAGTGTCTACCCCTGCACCACGTCTACCAGCCCACTGCCCCCGAGAGCCCGCAGGGTCTGGAGGATGATCAGAAAAAGAACGTGGAGTTGCTCCTGGGCCCTTTAGACCCTCCATATGGGAAGAATTGCCCCAGTGGGCTCAGTGGCTCCAGTCACTCTGAACAAGTCACAGTCCTCTGGCCCCTTAGAGTCAAGGCTAAGTCCTAGTTCTGCAAACCTTCAACCCTGTAATAGACAAAACTCTGACTTGATGACCATTGACATCGTTCCCCAGCCCCCTGGGGCCTGTGTGAAAGTGGGACCAGGCCCCTCCTGTCTCTTGCCACTCAGACCCCTCCTCATGGTCCTCTGGGCGGAGGCAGGGAGGGCAGAGGAGCGTTGTGGGGACAGTGTCCTTCCTCACCAGGTGTTGGGGACAGGGTGCTGCTGTGCTCTGGAAACCTGCAGTATTGGGGTGGTCTCCGGGGGCACTTTCATGGACCACTCAGGGACCCCTGGGTGTGTTAGCGCAGCGGCTCTCACCCCCCACCCCCCAGTCCTCCGGGGTGTGTGTCCCTCCAGGCAGCTGCATGAGCGGTGTCTCAGAGGACGCCGAGCCAGCTCACTGTCCCTGGCCCACATTGACCCAGGAGGGACCCACTGGCTTTGCCAGGACAAAGGACAAAGATCCATGAGACATAATCCAGAGGTGTAACTCCACAAGGCCTTGGGCTCTCGCAGTCACCTCTCAGCCATCGACTATGCACACTTAGGACTTCTGCCTAGAGTCTGACAAACCCATCTGGTAGCTACTGTGCCTGGTGCTGCCGGGCGCACACCTGTCCCACAGCCTGTCATGCCCCCACGTGGCTCTGTCTCTGACTGCTGCTCCCAGCCTGGGTTCTCCCTCAGCACAGACGGTCCCGAGGAAAGCCCAGCTCCATCACTCCTGCATTCTGTAACTCTGGGCCTCTGAGACCATCTGTTTCTGTTTCTCTCCCTATGGAGTGGGGTTGCAATTGTTGTCTCAAAGGACAAATTGTGGTGGTGTCTGATTGACACAGGGCCTGTGTCGTACCCGGCCAGATCATGCTCTTTCCCTGCTGACTGTGTGCTCCTGTTTCCAGGCCATGAATGCCCTCCTGATGCCCAGGTCACCAACAGGCCCCTCCCCACCCCTGACAGACCACCGGTCCTCCTGCCCTGGTTCCATCTGCTCCACGTCAGCCTTGCCTGTCACTCTGGGATGTTGTAGGATCAGGGAGCCCCCCAGGCCCAGGACAGGACCCACCTGATTAGCGAAAGGCATAAAGACGTGATAATTGAACAGCATTCGTGGACGGGGAAGTAAATAACTGTGGGCCTACTGTGGGCCTCCCTGCCATACTGACCTCAACTGGGGCGGCTTCTAGAGGGCAGCCCATTGGAACAGCGGGGTTGGATCCCCACAGCCCAAACCCCAGGGGCCTCTGGGGCTCAGGTTCAGGAGAAGTGTGGGAGCTGGGCAGCTGCCGTGGGCCGGGCATGGGTGCTGAGGCCCAGCAAAGGAGCAGAGCAGGCGATCATGGGGAGGCCAGGGCCTCAGGGTCCCCGCAGCCCTGTGCCCCTGGGTGGGCCTGATGTCTGAGGATGGGCTGTGCTTACTCCTGGAGCCCTGCAGGCCGCCTCCTCTCTCTACTTTCTGGAGAGACGGCAGTTTCATCAGAGGCCCGAGGGTCTCGTTCCCCAGCCTCTGCTCCCTGCAGCTGACCAGGGCCAGGGCTGGCCCTTTTGACGATCCTAACCTCTGACCTTACAATAACGAATCGCAGGAGACTATGGAACAATGGGTGTCTATTTTTACAGATGTCCCAGGATTCATGAAGATCAGCCTCATTGCAGTGCAGGTCCCCCCGTTTTCCAGGAGGGGACCTCAAATAGGGAGAATTTTTCAAGACAATCAGATGAACGTCTTCCTGCAGGACAGATGGGAAGGGGCTGGAGCTGGCAGGAGGTCCCTGCTCCCCCAGTCCTGGGTGGCCTCTTAATGCACTGGAGGAGGAGCAGCAGGTCCCAGCAGAAGAGAGGTCTCAGTGAGCTCCCTGGTGGGGCCATTTCCTTGGTGGCTTTGATGGGGTTGTCATCCCAACTCCTCATGAGGAGACCCTGGACCAGCTGGGCCCGCTGCCCTCACTCCTGAGCCGAGTCTGGGGGCCTTAGGCCATTACGGGGGCCACAGGAAGAGTCAGAGCTCAGAGCCAGAAGGGGCTTGTGCCTGGGGCTTGCTGGGTGGAGTCCTTCATGGATCACCCTACCCTCTGGTCCTCCCAGCATCCAGGGGACCCCAGGGGGTCCCGCCCCCCCCTTCTTCCCTGCCTGCTGCCTCTCAGATAACCTCTGTTCTGAAGCAAGGCTCCTTGTTTTATGACAAAACTAATATGTTGATTTTGCAAAACTGTAACCTGCCCCAGAGTCCAGGAATACAAAGGACCCTGCAACACCCTCTCCTGACCTGCTCACCAGGGGAGCCCCGGGGCAGCCACAGGGGCTCCCCGCCCCGGAGGGGGCCTGCTGCCTGCTCAGTGGCTATTGCCACAGTGAGCGCTGTCATGTTAATCATCACAAAGTGACTCAAAGTGACAGTGGACACCCGGTGGGTCCTCTGGAACCGAGTCTTCAGATCTTTGGGGGCAGGGCGTATCTAGTGCTCAACAGGAAACCCCAAATCTCAACACATCCAGAGCTACACGGGCATGGAGAGCCATCTTCATCCCGCCCCGGGTCTCCTGGAAGGCCTGGCTTCCCCCAGGGACCCTGGGCTGAGCTGCAGGGACCTGAGAAGAGAGGCCTGGCCTCAGGCCAGCCCCCTCCACCGGCAGGAGGCCCACGCCTCACTTTCTCCAGCAAAATAAATCTCCTGGCTCCCTCTGAGCCTCTCACACGCGCGATCTTCTCCCGATTAACAAGGCAGCCTGCGTGTTCTCGGCTGCTCGCCGCCGACCTCAATTTAAAACTGTCTGCTCCCCAGCTGTCGGACAGGAAGGCCCCGGGGGAGGGAGTGCTGAGCCCGGCCGCGCCGCGAGCCTGGGTGTGGAGTGGCATCTCAGAGGCCCGCAGGAGGGTTAGGACCCCAGCCAGGCCGGCCGTGGCTCCAGGGGTCTTCGATTTTTTCCTGAGAGCTCTGATGTGTGGGAGGGGGAGGGCGGCAGCTGTGGAACTGACTGCCCCGAGCGCTGAGCGTCACGGTCACGGCTGGAGCGGCCACACGGGGAGCACTCTGCGTTGCTGGAAACGGCTCCCCTCTGGGGTCTCACTTGTCATACTCCACAGCAACTTGACACATCCTCCCCGAGCTGTGATTCTGGGAAAGGCTTGTCTCCTCGGCTGCCTGGCCACCTGCCTCTTCCTCTGGCACCGAGAGGTGTGGGAGGACCTGCTCCCGCACCGAGCACTGCCAGGAAACTCGGGGGTTCATCGCATTTTCCTGCCTCTTTGCTCCTCATTCTCCAGCTATGCTTTTACTCAGCGCAGCCTCTTGGCCTTTGGCGGGGGCGAAGGATTGGGAGCACAGCCCTGGTGAGGGATCAGGAGCTAGTGACTTGACCTCTTTGACCCTCAGTCTCTGCCTCTGCAAAACAGGGCTCTTGCCTGGCCTCGGGGTGTATCAGGAGAGGTGTAGTTGTGTGTGTCGTGCTCAGCACAACATCTGTGCATGGTGAGGGCATGGGAGGAGTGACCCTTGGTCCTCACCGGACGCAGCTGAGGTGGAGGTAGCCTCATGTGACCTGTCTCCTGTTGCTTCTCCTGCAGGAGGGCAGTCAGTGACCCACACTGGCCTCCCCATTGTGGCCTCCCTGGCCAACTCCGCCGTCTCCTTCACCTGCAAAATCACCTACCAGTACACCCCCAAATTCCAGCCCTTCACTGTCAGCTACTTCCACGTGGATCTCCAGGGCAGGACCAGCAGGAAGCAGCCCACCGGCTGCCGACCCGCCTCGGGCACCGAGAACCAGACCTACACGCTGGACTGCAGAGTCACCCTCAGGCTGCCCAACGCCTCGGCCACAGGCTCCTACTACTGCTGCCTCCTCTGGCCAAGCTCCACCATCACCGTCACTGGCAACAGTACCTTCATCCTGGTCAGAGGTGAGGCCCCTCTTGCCTCCTCCAGGGTAAGGGGCCGCTGGGGTCACCTGGCAGAGCTGGGGGCCCAGGATGTGAAGGGGGGAGCTGGCGGCCTTGACCTTCAGCGTTGGCAAAGCAGAACAGAGCATCCCCAGAGAGCCCCCTGCCCGAAGGTGTAGAAAGGGGCTGGGGAGGGGCTGGGCTGTGGCTCTGCCTCTAGCCACCTCTGGCAGGTGACCTAAGAGAGGTCATTGGCCTTTTGGTCTCAGTGTCCCATGAGCACTACGGGGGAGGGGGAGGGGGGTCTCTGCAGAATCAGGTGTGTGGATGAATAAGCACTTGGTTCATGTACATCTTTCTGGGAACAAATTCCGAGTTTTGATCACATTCTTAAAGACGTGAGACCCCTGAAAGTTAAGAACAAGCCTATCACCAAAGCCATATTCTCTGGCCTGCCTCTGTGATTCCCACTGAAAGGGGCTGGACACTTTCCCACTGAGCCGCATCCCCAGCCCTTTTTATTTTTTATTGTGAGACAGGGTCTCACTAACTTGCTGAGGCTGGCCTCAAATTTGTGATCCTCCTGCCTCGGCCTCCCAAGTTGTTGGATTACAGGCCCGTGTCACTGCACCCAGTCTGTCAAGGACTTTGGTGCGGCCCAGTGAGGCCCTGCACCAAGGGGCCGGTGTCAGGCAATAGGAGGAACTTTGATAAATAGCACTGATGCGCCTGCCCCTTGGGTGGCACTCTGTTTGTGCCAACCAGATAAAGAGCAGGAGCAAGAGAAGGAGAGATGGATGGGGGCTTGGGAGTGGCCCCGTGAGTCCCCCCAGCCCCCTGTCAGTCCCAGTACCAACCTGTCTCCAACCCTCACCACACCCATCCGCGTTATCACCGTTTTAAATAGAGAAAAGCGGAGCCCCTGAAAGACGACGTGACTCACCCTGGGTCCCACAGGCAGCCCCCGGGGAGCTGGTTCACCAAGGCAGGCCCTAAAGAAGAAAGGCCAGGGTCCTTGTCCTTCAAGAAAGCCGAGGCAGGCCACTTACCCCTGAGGTTCAGCAAAGCGAGCCTGAGATGAGGACCCGGGGGCCTTGTGGGGAGGGTCCCTGGTGAAGGAGAGCGTGGGGCTGTGGGCCGGGGTTGGTGAGGCTGGGCCCTGGCTCCTCCTGGGCCCTAACCCTCCGCTCTCCTGCCCTTCCTCCTAGACACAGGGTACCGGGACCCCCCGCAGAGCGTCCAGAAGCCCCTGCTCTTCAGCTTCACCGGCCTCCTGACTGCCCTGGGCGTGCTGGGCACAGCTCTGCTGCTCTGGAAAAAGGTACGGGACAGACACACAGCAATAGCACACAGGGTGGGCCGCGGGCCTCCCAGGGCAGAGGGGCTGCCCAACAGCCCCACGCAGGGCGTCCTGGGCCCTGGCAAGGGCACATCTGCTCCTGTAAACGTTGTCCCTTGTGGACCCTCGTGCATCCCTCCTACCTGCGCCTCCCCCAGGCCCCTGCCGAGCGTACTGCAAGAAACCAGGACTCCCCTGTGTCTCCCCGTCCTCGGGCCTCTGAGAACCTGACAGGGGACGCGAGTCCTCGCACTTAGCGTCTCTGGCTCAGGCGGTGGGAGCTCCTGCCTGGTCTCTTCATCCCAATACCCTGGAAGGAAAAGGAGCCCGAGAGAGCATGTGCCCAGCGTCCCCACATGCCCTCACCTGTCCCCTCTGTGAGGAGGTTTCTTCCCATCTCACGGCTGGGGAGAGTGAGGCACGGGGCAGGGTCGGGCTGGGGTCCAGGTGGGAGCGTACAAGCTCCTGCTCGTCATCTGGCTGCTGGTCCCTGCTGTGCGGTGGTCGGCACCTTCCTGGGAAGAGTGTTTCTGGGTGGGGTGCCCTCGTTCTCATTGCCCGGCCCTGGTTCCTTGCTTTGTGCCCGTCTCTGCGTGTTCCCTGCCCCAGTGCAGCCCATACCACAGGGCCTTTGCACAGCCATTATTAAGCACGTGCATTTCTTCCTTTAACAGATATTAGCTGAGCACCTACTGCATGCCAGGCCCTGTACCAGGGGCTACCAGGGGGAACACAATGGGCTAAGATCTCACAGTCTGGTGGGACCATTACCCGACAAACAGTTATGACCTGTTATGAAACTGTGGCAGTCGAGGTTGGGGGACGCGGAAGAAGACAGCCCCGGCCTGGTTATGTGCCACCTCTGCCATTTATCTGCCAGTTCTGAGAGCGTGGGCAGGGCGCTGGCCTCCCCCATGCCTCCGTTTCCCCAGTGGGGCTGCCGGGCAGGGGAGCTGCGCCTGCCTCGGGGCTGCAAGGGGAGTGCAGGGCCCCAGGGGAGCCCGGGTGCTCAGAGACCAGGACAGGCCTCCGTCCTGGAAATGGAGGTGACCACGGTGCCTGCATGAGAGGAGCCCTGACCTGGCTGGAGGGCCACAGGGCCTTGGCACAGCCCAGGCTCCCTCCTCGGAGCTCTTCCCTGGGGGGGACTCTGTTCCGGGGGCTACATTCCCCATGCATCCGCGACACCCCCATAGCCCTCCAAGCTCCCCCCAGGAAGCTGTGTGGAGCCCAAGGCCTCCCCATCTGATGTCCAGAGCAGCCCTCTGACGCCCCCCCCCTCACCCCGCCACACCCCGCAGTCTTCCGCATCTCAGCCAATGGCCTCGGGCAGCAGACCCTCAGGCCCAAGCCTTGGGCTTGTATTCCTCCCCTCTCAGCCCATCTGACCCCACAGGCTGCCCAGGGCCAGCCCCTTCTCCCTTGCTGCCCACCTGGTCCCGCAACCTATCACCCCTCTTCTGGAACACAGGCCTCTGCCTGCCGTCCTCCGCTGACCATGCTGGCTTCTGGGTTCACACGGCTCGCTCCTCCAGAGCACGGCCCCTGCAGGGTGGGGACTTGGTGTGTCCTGGGGAGCCCTGGCACCTAGTCAGGGCTTGTGGGTGGAATGACAGGTGACAGGCACACTGACACCAGAAGTGACTTGGAGGTGACCGGGCACAACATGGGCAAGGCAGCACCATCCCTCCTACTTTAGAGGAGGACCCTAAGGGTGGCCAGGCTTCCCGAGCCACGGGCAGCATCAGCCCTGGTGTGCGGAGCGGGGCACGGCCGGGGGGCTGCCCTGGCTGGTTTCTCCACTTGGAGATCACCATTGAGAAGCCGGGCACAGTGGCCCTCGCCTGGAATCCCAGCAGCTCAGGAGGCTGAGGCAGGAGGAGCTCAGGTTCAAAGCCAGACTGAGCAACTCAGCGAGACCCTGTCTCTAAATAAATACGAAAAGGGCTGGGGTGTGGCTCGCTCAGTGGTTAAGTGCTCCTGGGGGTCAATCCCTGGTACAAAAAAAATCACCTTTAAAAGCACAAACGCCCACAGCTTGACCCGGCAGAGCTGGCTCCAGGGACAGAGCCTCTCACACCTGCGACGACAGCAAAGTGGCCCCCATCTGCTCTCCCACGGAGCCCCCTCTGCCGGGCCCAGGCTTCCTGAGCCCCCGCTGGGAGGCCCCCCACCTTCTCCCCACTGCCCCAACCTCCGATCACCTGCCCCTGGGGGACCAGAGGGAGCCTACAAAATGCCAACCTGACCGCTCCCTAACCTGGTGGGTCCGCTGTCCACAGGGTCAAGACGCGGCTCGACCTTCTGTGACCTTGCCTGGCAGCCTCCTGGCTCTCCTCCCCCTTCCCGTCCTGCTCCTCTGCACACCACCTCGCCTGCAGGCTTGGGGCTCTGTCCTGGGACCCCCAGGGGCACTCACCTCCCTGGATGTCAGGGACGACCCCACCCACCCACAAGGAGGCCCAGGAGGCCACACCATGGTGTCCTCCGTGCCCAGCCAGGTCCAGCGTGCGCCTGGGGAGGTGTCTGGCATCCAGGGGCCGCACTTTCCGGACAGCTGGTCCCAGGGGGCCCCAGGAGAGCCCTGCCTGGGAGCTCCCATCCCCCACCCTTGGCCACCCCGGGCCGGCTGGCTCGCCGGGGAGAGGACTGGGATCCCAGTTGTCTTGACAAGAAGAGGCACCGAGGTGCCCGGGGTGACCATCACCTCTGACAGAAATGGTGGCCTCCAGAGGCTGCAGTGCAGGGGATTTGAGGACAGGACCCCTAGGCCTGCTCGGAGGGCAGCCATTTCCCGGCTGGACAAGCCTCAGTCTCCTCTTGGTTAGGTGAGCCATCCATGCCCACCTCCTCAGGCTGTGACAAGAATTAAATGAGAATAAGGACAAGTCCCAGGGGTCTTTGTCAACTGTAAAGTACCGCACACATGCCAGTGCCTGTCCAACCCTGTCCGTGAGACCTGCATTCAGCAAGACAGGTGGAGAACACCTCCAGGTGAAGTCGGTCAGTGTCTCGGTGGAACGCGGGCCTGGGTTCGAGTGCTGCCTCAGATGCTTCCCGGCTGTGTGGCCTTGGCAAGGCCCCTGCCCTCTCTGAGCCTTCACTTCCTCCTGTGCAGAGCAGAGGGGACGGAGGGCTGGTTGGCTGCAGGTTGGTTGACGGGCCCGGCTCCGTGTTCCCAGCCATTACAGCTGGGACTGGGGCGGCGCTGTCTGCTGCCTGGGAGTTAAGTGGCTCTCAGAGCTAATCCCGAGTAAATGGGCTGGGTTGGCAGGCCGCCAGGGTTTTTAATTAGCTCCTGCCCCACGACGAGGCGGTGTCGCTCCACTCTTAGCAGCGTGGTGCCTGCGATGAAGGGTCGTCCGGCCGACCCCTCTGCGCCTCCGACTGTCGCCGGCCCTTGGCCTTCCCCAGGCCCTTGGCCTTCCCCAGGCCCTTGGCCTTCCCCAGGCCGGCCCGGCTCCACCAGTGTCTCGGGGGCTCCGCTCGCTGCCCTCCGTCCCCCCACACCGTCCACGCAGCCGTCCTGACCTTGGGCAGGTCCACCTGCCGGCCGCGCTGACCTCCTCTCAGGCCCGGTGCGTGCTGGTCCCTGTGCCTGGGACGCGCCCCACTCCTGGCTGATGGATTCTGTCTTCAGATCCTGCCATCATGGCCTCGGAGGGCCTCTGGTTTCCTCCTTTTCGTGCCCCTCAGCTCACGCACCACATTTTGGTAGCGCCGTCGGCTCACTGTCCATCTCTCCAAAGGCCCTGGAGTCCAGGAGGCCAGGAAGGCTGCACCTCCGCCTGACAGGGTATGCTGGCCGCCCCGGGCTCGCCCTCGCCGTCGCTTCAACACTTGAACAGTCTCAAAAAGGAGGGCTATTTCTGGAGGCCAGGGGTGGGCGGGGCATGGCCTGCTCCAGGCCAGAGCCAGGAAGGGGCAGAGGGACCTGAGGCCCAGCTGACTGGCACGTGCTTGGGCCCACCCACAGTCTCAGCTCCAGGTCTGGGTCCTGCCACGCTGGCACCAGGCCCTGCAGCCCCTGCCTCCCCTGTGCCAATCCTCTGCCCCCGTGGGTTTGGGTTCCTAAGCGCGGGCACTCGCGGGCACTCGCGGGCACACACGTGGTGGCCTGTAGGTGCTGGAGGCCGGGTGGAAGGTGTGAGTGATGGATTTCTGCGTGGTCTGTGACGTCTGCCACCCTTTCTCCTGGTGGTTTGTGAGGTAGAGGGACCGGGAGCTGCTCATCCCAACCCCAGCAGCCTGCTCCTTTCTCTCCACAGAAACAGATGCTGGTTCCAGAAAAGCACACCACCAAGGAGCACCCGGATCCAGGCTCGGCCAGCAGACCCACACAGGCTCCGGCTGAATCCATCTACACGGTGAGTCCCAGGGCCTGGGCTCCTCCACCTCGCTCGGGCCTCATTCAGGGTCCAACTCCCCGGCTCAGTCTGTGCCAGCTGTGGACCTGTCTGAACCTCAAGCTCCTCATCTGAAAAATGGGCACAGGAATTCCTACCTGTGGAATGTCTGTGAAGGTGCAAGGGGAGCCCATGCATGGGCCCCTGGTGGGCCTGCACAGGGAGACACCCTCCCTGGCACCCCCTCCACTTCTGGAACCAGGGCCAGTGAGGGAAAGACTTGGTGGGGAATGAAGAAATTTCCTTCTGACCAATGACGTCCACCGGCTCACAGCCTCTTCGAGGCAGCAACAGCAAACACCATGAGAAGAAGAGGCCAGGCGCCCGCCACCCGCTAGACGGGCGATTTCCCACTGTTCACTCTGCCTTCCCCGCCTCGGGCTTTGCCTCTGTCCTCGCCGTCACAGCCGGGACACAGCTGGGACCCTGCGTCCACACCCTGTTGTGTCGCAAGCGTTTTCCACCAGGGTCTTCATCATTCTGGTGGGGGAGAGGCAGAGGAGGCCCTGCACGAGGCCTGCCCCTGGGGCTGGGGCTGAGGAGGGCGAGAACCTTCTTTGCCAGTTGGGAAGCCCGTGCTCACTGTGGGGAAGGTGGAGAACAAACGCCACCAGTGTCAGCCGGTCTCCGTCCTGTGGGACCCAGAGCCGCCGGGCTGGGCTCCCTTCCCTGCGGGCCTGGGGGTTCAGAGCCCTGCAGGGTCGCGGCCTCCCCAGGCGGGCATTCTCAGCCTCCGCTGCTCCTGTCCCCGCCACTGATTCACAGCGGAATCGGGGCTTCATCCGATGCCACAAAACCCCACGTGGAGCACATTCACGGCAGCGCTGGCGGGGGACCGGGTGGTGGCCGTGGGGCAGCGTTAACAGCTCCCAGAACGCGGCAGTTCTCAAAGGGCCCTCGCCTCGCCCCCAGGGTTCCCGCCAGCTGCTCCTTCACATGTGGCCTCAGACTCCCCCACAGGGGCTCCGTCGCCCAGCCACTGGTGGGACTCCCCTACAAGGGCACTGGTGTCCGCTGTTGGTAGGCACACCTTTGCCTCCACGTGCACACAGATATGCACACACACACACACGTAGGAGTGTATATATGTACATATATGTGTATATATATATATTTTTTCCATAAATGCATAGAAAGGGACCTATATATGCACTCACTTTTTTCATGCTAGGCATCGAACCCAGGGCCTCACACCTGAGCTTCCCGCTGAGCTACACCCCCAGCTCCTAGACCTTTCTTATTTTTCTTTTGTGATATTGGAGATGCATTCAGGGCCTTGCCCCTGCTAGGGAAGCACTCCCCTGCTGAGCTACATCCCCAGTCTTTTTTTTTTTTTGCAACAGGGTCTTACCAAGTTGCCCAGGCTGGCCTTGATCTCAGGATCCTCCTGCCTCACCTTCCCAAATAGCTAGGAGGACAGGCCTGTGCCACCACGCCTGGCACTTTTCTTAAAAAAAAAAAAAAAAAGAAAAGAAAATTGGAGTTTGCAGCTTCCCCATGTTACAATCTCTCATGAATATTTTTCCACATGAATAAATAGCCTTCTCTAAGGTTGTTTTTAATGGAGGAGACTCTCTTTCAACTGAAGCATCTTGCTGCCTGTGTGCAGTATCCTCTGGGGGTCAGCTGACTCGAGAGTGTGGCAGAGGCCCAACTGTCTGCAGGTCCCAGGAGGGGTTCAGGACCAGAAAGGAGGTGTGACAAGAGACCACGGGACTTTGCTAAGCCCTTGAGACAAGGGTCCACCGGCTGGGACTGGACCTGGGCAAAGAAAAATGACATTAACAACAATCAGAATGGTCTCAGGAGATGTTGGCTGTGTGCCTACTATGCGCCCAGCACTGTCATAGACTACGCCGATGGTGTCATGAACCCTCTTGATGAGGCTTTAGGGCACAGGTACAACCTCTGTCTTCAAGTCGCCTACTGCTGGTATGCAGAGATGTGATTGATTTGCATATTGGCATTATATAGAGTGATCTTGCTGAATTTACTCATTAATTCTGATACTTTCTCTGTAGATTCCTTTGGATTTTCTTGGAGCCTATTCATGTCCTCTATGAATCATCAAAATTTGACTTTTTTCTTTCTAATCTTCCCACCTCCTTTTCTCTCCCCTACTTTATTGTACTGCCTAAGACCTCTGGGAAGGATTTTTAAATTCTCTTTCTTCTTCTTCTTCTTTTTGGGCAGTACTGGGCACTGAACCCAGGGGTGCTCTACCACTGAACTACATCCCCTGTCCTTTTAATTTTTTATTTTGAGACAGGGTCTCACTAAGTAGCCCAGAACTTTTGATCCTCCTGCCTCAGCCTCCTGAGTTGCTGGGATTATAGGTGTGTGCCACTGTGCCCAGCTACTTAGTTTTTGATCATTCTTTTCTAATTTGTGCATTTCAGGCTGTGAACTTCACCTTAAGTATGGCTTTAACTTCATCCCATAAAGATTCAGGGGAGATTCTATTTTTGTTGTTGTTGTTTTCGATACTGAGGATCAAACCAGGACCTTCTCATGTGAAGCAAGCACTCTATCACTTAACTCCATCCCCAGCCCCATAAGATTTTGGATATGTCATACTTTTATGATCTTTCAATCTAAACTTCCCATTGAGAATTCTTCCTTGCCCTTCTGGTTATTTAAAACTGTTTTGCTTACTTTACAAGGGTTTAATTATTATTTTCTGGAGCTCTTTCTGGGTTTTTTTTTTTTTTTTTTTTTTGGTACTGGAGCTTGAACCCAGGGGCACTCAACCCCTGAGCCACATCCCCAGCCCCATTTTGTATTTTGTATTTTATTTAATGTCAGGGCCTCACTGAGTTGCTTAGTGCCTCACTATTGCTGAGGCTAGCTTTGAACCCATGATCCTCCTGCCTCAGCCTCCCAAGCAGCTGGGATTATAGGCATGCGCCACCACACCCAGTGATCATTCTGTTTTTTATTTCTGGATGATTCTGTCATAATCAGAGAACAGTCTCCCTCCTCCGGGACACACATGACTCCAAATTGTGAAATCCAGCAGGCAGTTCTTGGTTCTCCTCTTCCTTGAAGAATCAACAGCAACTGATACCACTGAGTTCTCCCTCCTCCTTGATACTGTCTTTTTTTTTTTAATATTTATTTTTTTTAGTTACCGGCGGACACAACACTTTGTTTGTATGTGGTGCTGAGGACTGAACCCGGGCTGCATGCATGCCAGGCGGGCGCGATACCGCTTGAGCCGCATCCCCAGCCCCCTTGATACTGTCTTCACTTGATTCTGGGACATTCTGCTCTCTCCTGAGCCTGCCCTGGCTCACTGCCCCACTTCCTCAGTCCCCACTTCCAGGACATTGAGTGACCATCAGAGCCCAGTGCTGGGACCCCTGACTTCGCTCCTCACTCCCCTCTCCGGGTGACCTCACTTGGCCTCAAGGTGCTGAACACCTACCTCCAAGTTTGTATCTCCAGCCCGGACATCTCTGGAGGCCAGACCCTCCTCACTTGGATGTCTAATGGGCATCCACCTCCAACCAAGCTCCAATTCTTTAGCCAACAAGCGCATCTCCCTCCAGCCCTTCCCGTCGTAGGAAACGGTGCTCTGTTCTCCTGTGGCTCAGGCTAGACATTTTGAAGCTGTCCTTTCCTTCTCTCTTTTGATCACCGCCCAAATCTGACCCATCGGCAAACCTTGCTTCAAACCGTATCCAGATCCGGTTCTGCTCTGGCCTCCCCCGCCCCTTGCCTGGAGAGCTGCTGTGGGTCTCTAATCAGTGGCCTATTTTTATCCTTGTCCCCAGTCTGCCTAGGATAGCAGCAGCCAGAGCGATCCCATTAAACCACTGACAGGTTGTGCCCCTCTGCTCAGAGCCTTGGTGGCGAGGTCCCCGAGGGGCAAGGGGGACTAGAGGAGCCGCGATCTTGTAGAGAAGTCCCTGAGAGGGGAGGCGGCGAGGAGCTGGGGACTCCTGGGAGGGCCAACAGACTGCAGGGCAGGTGTCATCCCAGTGAGGGAAGAGGGAGGGAGGGCAGGTGGATGTGCGCGAGAAGCCCCCCTCAGCAAGGCCCTCGGAGAGCCCAGGAGGAGGCACGCGGGTTTAGAGCCCAGGAGCTGGGGCCCAGTCCGTCCTGATCCCTGCACACGGAGTCCTTGAAGTAATTCTCAAAGTCACATGGTCCTTTGGAAGCTCCCTGGCACCTGAAGTCAGAGCTCACGACCTCCAAGCGCTCATGTCCCCGCGTGCTGCCCACCCACTGCAGCGCCCCACGCTGGCTCTTCTGCGCCCCGGGCGTCTCCCTCCGGCTTTCTGCTCGAGGGCTTCCCGGTGCTCTCCTGACCTCTCCTTCCCTCACCCTCAGCCAGACCCTGTGGCCTCTCTCCGTCTCGGACTGGAGCCTCCTTCCCGCCCCACAGCAGCCAGCGCCCCGCGCACAGAGGCGCTCAGAATCGTCTCTTCCTTTTCAGGGTGGCCGGGGTGCAGGACAGAGGGACATCGTGGCCAGCGTGGGGCATCGGTGCGGAGCTCGCTTCCCTGGGTAGCGTTTGTCCCCTCCCCTCAGCTCCGCCCCTCCGCCTGGCCGTGTCCCCTCCCTGCTCCTCTTTGCCTCCAAAGGACCTTTCTAACACCCAACTGGGACACAGTGCTGGAAAAGCTGTCCCCACGGCGTCAGAGCAGGGGACTACTCACTTCAGACGCGTGAGCCCCGACCTAGAGCAGGTGCTCTTTCTCCCTAGAGTCAGCTCTTTCTATGCAGCACCCTCAGCTCTCACCCAGGGACCCAGCACCAGGCCCCAGGCAGCTGACTCCGCCCTGCCTCAGCCCACCAGGACCATGGCCTTGGCACTGACGCCACAGCTTTGCTTGGCTGGTGACCATGCAGGTCAGCACCATTACCCTGGGCAGCAGGAGGCAAAAGGCCGTAGGACCTGAGTCTTAGACCAATGACCACTGCCCGGCACAGCCCACGGGCAACCCACTGAGAGGCCAGCCCTGCCTCCTGCCAGCAGGCACAGAGGAGGGAGGGCGCCTGGCCTTGTCAGGGTGTCCGCTGACAAGGCGGCACCCTGCGTTCCACAGCCTGCTGCTGCAGTCAGACTCTGCAGGTGATGACCCAGCCGGTCAGGCCTCGCCACAGGCTGCACTCGCAGCTGCTGGTGGCCATCCCTGCTGCTCTCGGCCCCACATTTGCACCCGCCCTGGCCACAGCACGCTCACTCTGTGGGTCTGAGGCCTGCAGGGTCGCAGGGCAAGTGCTCTTCTCTGGCTCGGATAGCCCCGGCCTCTGGGGATCACCTGTGCTAGGCAGCCCACATGCACTGGGCGGGGCAGAAGGAGCCACCTGTGACCCAGACCTGCCACCCCGCTGAGGCGTGGCAAGGAGGCTGCTTCTCCCCGCTCTGCGACCAGAAATGCCCAGCCCAGAAGGGCTGTCCGGCCTGTCAGACCTGAGAGGCCCGGGCCTGGGGGAGGGGTGGGGAGTGCAGGCCACTGAGCAGCACACCTCGTCCTGGGTCTCTGGACGGGCGCTAGGACCCGCACGGGTCAGAGAAGGCCTTGGAAGTTTCCTTCCCTTGGGTTCCTCCTCGGGGAAGGAGGCAGGTTAGAAACCTCTCTCCCAAGACCCACGCTCTTTCTGGTTCAGAGATCCCCTAAACAGGACCTCTGGGGAACCCCAGCATCCCTGTGTCAGATGCCCTTGAAGTGCGAGGGTCTCCCAAGTGCCAAATGGTTGATTACGCGGGTTTTCATGCCCCGCTGCTCCTCAGCGCCACCCGCCCTCCTCCCCTCCCACCTCCCCGCCCTCCTCCTGCCTCTGAGCACCACCTGTCTCTCCAGCCTGCCTCAGCAACCCCTGCTTGACTGTTGCCAGGGAAACCGCCTCCTTGGCAACCAGCCGGCATCCATATGACACGTACACTCAGGGAAGGGAAGGCTGCTGCCTCTTGCTCAGGCTGTTGGGGGGCTCTGCTCTGCAGCCCAGTGAGGTCTGGGGTGAGTCCAGGCTAGGGCTTCAGAGGGAGGAGGACAATTATATCTTTCTTCAAGACATTCAATCACTGCTCATTAAGCACCTACTATTTGCCCAATTCTGTGTTGGTCCCCTTGTGTATAATATCTCATTTAATCCTGCATTGGACCTCAAGATAGCCCCCATTTATAGATGCAGAAACTGAGGCACAGAGTTTTTTGTTTTTTTTTTTTAAGGGTTTGCCCTTGGCTGGCAAATATTAGAACTAGGAGTTGGGCTGGGGATGTGGCTCAAGCGGTAGCGCGATTGCCTGGCATGCGTGCAGCCCGGGTTCGATCCTCAGCACCACATGCAAAAAAAAACAAAGATGTTGTGTCCACCGAGAACTAAAAAATAAATATTAAAATTCTCTCTCTCTCTCTCCTCTCTCTTTAAAAAAAAAAAAAAAAAGAACTAGGAGTTGAACTTGGTCTCATCTGGCGTCAAAGCCTGGCTTTCTCTACTACCTTAAGGTCTGTGGTCAGGCCTCTGGAGGTTGGGCCAAGAGAGTGTGACCCTGGGATACTCCCAAATGAGGGAGGTGGCCCCTTCATAGTTGACTTGGTGGTGCTCTCATTGTGCCAAGAGCAGCTTAGGTTCAGGAATCAGAGACAAACCAGACACAGTCCCTGCCTCAGGGGCTCCCAGTCTGGCAGGAGCCTGGGGAGAGCCAGTCTCTGATGGAGCTGAGTACAGGGGGCCTCGAGGCCAGGCTCCCAGCCCTGGCCCCAGTGCTGCTCCCCATTCACCAGGGAGCCTTGGGCTGCGTGGGCTGTGGTCAGAATGGGGAGTGGGAATGGCTGGAACCAGGTGGCTGGGAGGGGCAGCGGAGGAGTACAAGGAAAATGATGGGGGGGTGGGTGCACCGAGAGCCGGAGCTGGGCTCCAGACTCCCCCCAGGATCCAGGCTTGACGGGTGGGGAGTGTGGCCCCAAAGGACCCTGGGTTATCCGTGAGCCCCCGATGGGCAGTGGGTCAGGGGGAGGCCTAACGGCGTGGATGGCAGGAGAGGCTGGTGGGGTGGGCTTGGGACCCTTGAAGGGGTAAGGACTTTGAACCAGGAGTGAGGCGGATGCCAGGTGGGTGCCCAAGGGAGCAGTGGGTGTGAGTGTCACCCAGGAGCTGCTGGTGGCCGTGCCCTCAAGGGCAAGGACAGGCAGGCTGGTGGGGCAGACAGGGACCCTCGTCTTGCCAGGTGAGTGGGCGTCTGGACCCGGGGCCCAGCACACGCTCTGCTGAGGTCCTTGAGGAGGTGGTTGGAGCAGAGAGGACGTGGCCCTGGGCGAGCAGGGGAGCAGGTGAGGTGGCAGAGACGGCCTGGTGGGTCAGTGCGTGGGGCAGTGTGGCCACTCCAGCATGGCACTGCCTGCCCCTGGCCTCCCGCAACACGACGGGACAGTGACGGGCAGAGAGGCTGGCTGCTGGGGCTGCGGCTCCCCCGCACCTGCCTCTGACCTGCGCCCCGTCTTTCTCCCGCAGGCCCTGGAGCACCCCGAGCCCGAGGTCTACGCCTACATCGAGAGCGAGGCCAGCAGCCCACCCTCGGCCAGGAACCGCCCCTCCCAGGTATGTGGAGGCTGGGGCGCAGGCCAGGCCCGGCTCTCCAGGGCCCCTACCTTCTCATCTGTACAGTGGGGCTGCGGAGATGGCAGAACTCACCCCAGCTGTTGTCTCCCAGCCCCCTCCCAAGGCAAAGGGGGTTCCGACTTCCGAGCCACCCCTAGCAGCTGTGCATCCCTGACCAAGGTACTACCTTCTCTGGGCTGTCTCCTGGTCTGTAACTGAAGAGTTAAAACAGTCTCCACCTCACAGAATTGCCACAAGGAGAGACGGCTGTGCTGAGAGGGCTGCCCAGGAGTGGGCACCATGAGTGTGGCCATTAGAGCTACCCCTGAGGGGCACAGCGCAGTGTCTACACAGGCCAATCTGGTCGACAGTGCTGGGAACGTAAATGTCCCCAGGCTGGGCTTCGCTAATTTAGAGCTGGAGTCTGAGTTTGTGCCAGGTTGGGTGGCCTGGTCAGGGCTCTGCTGGGACCATGATGGGGCCTCAGGTCAATTACTCAATCACACTTTCTCTCTTTAACCTCAGTTTGCTCATCTGCAAAGTGGATGAGTGATGTTTTCCTGCAACACCATCCATCCCAGAACCCAAAAGAGTAACACCCGCACCGGAGCTTTGAATGTTATAAAGTGCAAAGGGTGTCAAGCCGGATAGGAGCCCCCAAGGGGGGGTCCCCAGGCACCATGGAAGAGCTGGCAGGGTGTGCAGGGTGCCCCCCCAGCCCAGGTTGGGACTGCATGGTGAATCTCATTCTCAAGCTCCAGATTAGGCCCTGATAAGCAGGGCCTCGAGGTCCCCTAAAGATGTCAGGCAGTGCCTACCATTGTCCAGTCCCTGGGTGCTGGACAGAGGAGCGAGGTATGTCCCTGTCCTCTGGGAGCCTTGGCCTGTAAGAACAAAGTCACTGACCCCACGGACACGCAGAGACATATAAAGTCCCATGGTGAGGGGTGGGTTCCAAGAAGGGCCCAGGCCAGGGCTGGGGGCAGGGAGGGCTCCCTGAGACCCTGAGCCCTGCAAGGTGAGGGGGAGGGAGTCAGGGAGTGGGGTGCGTGGGGCAGAGCATGCAGGGAAGCCCCAAGGCAGGCAGGGGGCCGATGTAGTTGGAGGGCAGGGGCAGGGGCAGCAGCGTGGTGACAGGAGAGGCTAGTGGGGTGGCCTTGGGGCGGGGGGCAGGAAGTGATGTGTTTGCCTCTCATGAAAACTAAATTACTGCAAGTTCACTTTTACCTACCTAATGTTCCTTCCTTCCCTTTCCTTCCTTCTTTATCCCTTTCTCTTTTTTCTTATCTCTTCTTCCTCTCTCTCCACCCCTTCCTCTCTCTCCACCCCTTCCTCTCTCTCTCCATCCCTTCCTCTCTCCCCACCCCTTCCTTTCTCCCTCTTTCTATTCCTCCCCATTCCTTCTTTCCCAGGAGAAGCTGCGGAGGTTTGAGGACGACAGGGAATTGAACCTGGTCTATGAAAATCTCTAGGCCAGGTTCTACCAGCCGTGGGGCTTGTCCTGGATCAGAAGCCCAGGGTGTGGCCTTGACCTGAACCCAAGAACTTGACCTGAGTGAGGGCCCGCCCCATGGCCTCAGCCTCACACCCGAGGCCCTCATCCTGCACCCAGACAAGTGCTTCCCATCTTCAGGTCCTTCCTGGGCTGTCCCATCTCCCTCCCCTGCTGCAGCTGGCGAAGTGCTGCTCAGTCCCTGGGGGCTCGCTTGGACCCAGCCTCTTCCTGAAGGCCTCCTCACCCGCCCTGGCCTGCCCACAGAGCCGTGTGTGTGGCTCACCTGGTGCCAGCCGGCATCTTGCTGCGCAGCCCATGAGTCCTCCGAGAGAACACAGCGAGGGCCCCCATCGGTGCTGAGCGCAAGCTCTGTTGGGGGGAGAGGTGAACACCCCACCTGCCCAGAGGAGGAGGCTGGCATGGGAAGCATGGGGCTCAAGACGGGGCTCAATGGGCAGATACGCAGGCTGAGGATGTGCAAGCGGTTGTCGTCAGACTGGGGCCTGGAGCAGAAAGGGTCCTGTGCACGCTGTTGAGAAGGGGGTTCTGGTGTGTTAGGGTGCAGCAGAGGCCCAGCTGAGCAGGAGCTGGGTGAGTGGCCAGAGCTCTCCCCTCTCCCCGCGAGGCTCCCCGGGTTGTCTCCGTGGCCTGGCTCCTCCCTTCCACCCCAAGACCCTATCCCCCAACGACCCTCTGTCTAGCAGGTCCTGAGCCCACCACCTGCAGCTCCATCCAGCCTCCTCTGACTCCCGTCCTTGGCCCCATTCCTGCCCCCTGTGTTGAGCCAGATGGGACCCCGTGCCCACCCCGGCTGCCTCAGCCCTCCCCTTTCCCGGGGTAGTCCAGCTGCCTGGCGTGGTGCCTGGCCACCCTGGATGGGCAGACGGTCTCTGTGTTGCGGTGGAGGCTGGGAGAACAGTGGCTCCCCAGGGCCTGACCCAGAGCCTGTCTGCTCCTCCGGGTGCTCAAGTGACTCCTCGTCTCACCCTGGAAGCAGCCCCGCAAGGTAGCTGAACCACTGTTCCCCAGGCAGGCGGGCTCAGGGTCACATAGGCTGCCATCTGTCCCCTCCCCCTGGGTCCTCCCCAGGCTCAGTCTTTCCTCACCTCCCAGGCTGCTCCAGAAGTCTCTAGGGTACCTCAAGGCCACTATGATATCCCCATGTAGGGTGGGGGACCCAAGCAGCCCTGGGCCACCAGCACTCGGTCAGCACCTCCTGCTCGGCAGGTCAGGTCCTCTGTGGGGGAAGGAAGGCTGAGGGTGGCCCTGATGACCTCCAGATGTCCCCAGGCACTCTGCTAGGTGGCACGGGGCCTCCCTGGGCCCACACGATGGTCGTTGGCCTCCTGACTTGGTTCTAGGCCGCCCAGAGCAGGATCACCAGGCTGGGCTGCGGAGGCTGAGTTTGGTGAGGTCCAATCCTGTGGAGGGAGGGCAGCAGCCTCGCTCAGAGCCAGCTTCAGGCTCAGCCTCCAGCAGCCTGTGGTGGGGGTCAGGGGAGTGAAAACTGCAGCCAGCAGGACCAGAGGAGCCTCTTGGCCAGGCCTGCCTCCCCGCCTCCTGGGCCTCTCTGTCCTTGACCCCTGGACCTCCTGACTGGGACTTGGGCTTTTCCAGCCTTCTCCAGGGGAGTGAGGGGACCCTGGCAGGGACTTCAGTGTGCCCTGGCCCAGGCCCCCCATCACAGCCCCCTGCAGTGGCCCTGCCCACGGTCTCTTCTACCCAGCAGCTCCAGGATCCCTGCCCTGCTCAAAACCACCCCTGGTTCCCATTTCACGTGGAATAAAATCCCGGCTCCTGTCTGTGGCCTGAGACACCCTGGAGTACTGAGCTCTGGACACAGACTTTGCCAGATGGGTGCAGAGCCGGGGGCCAGCAGGTGCCGTGGGCTCCAGTGAGTGAGCAGAGAGGGGGAAAGAGGAGGAAGAGGGTGAAGGGGGGACTCTGAGAGGGTCTTTGACGGGAGGGAGGCTGGGGGGAGAATTCCTGGGACTCCCAGTGGGCAGCACAGAAGACTGGGCACCTGGCCCCAGGCCGCCAGGACCGAGAGCCTCAGGTGAGCTGGTGCAGGGTCCAGGGGAGCAGGAGACAGCGAGGGAGCAGCTGTGACTCGGGAGAGAGAGAGGAGCTGCCCCTCTAGGGCAGGGTGGCCACTGGGCCTCCTGGCCCCCAGCTCCACCTCCAGCCACAGTGTGACTTAGCAAGGCCTGGCCCTCCCGAGCCTTGGTTTCCAGTGACCCTCAGGCCACTCGGTGTGTCTGAGAGGACGGTGGAGGACTCCCTGGCTCTCGCAGGGCTCAGCGGGTGCAGTTCCCTCCGGGATTCATCCTTCAGAGAAGCAGGCTGCTGGGCAGAGCCCAGGGAGTGTGCTGAGTGGGGGACAGGCTTCCCTGGGTGGGACGCCACAGCTGTGGAGAAGCAGCCTGCTCAGGCGACAGGCGGGAGCTGTCCAGGGCCGGAGCGTGGGCAAGGAGAGCAGAGAGGGAGGAGAGGGGTTCTGGGGCCAGGGGGTCCCCGGAAGAGGAGAAGATGATAGAGTAGGACAGGGGGGAGGGGTCCTTGGAGCTCCGCCAAGGAAGGGTGGTTGCCACCGTCCTGAGCGTGGACAGAGCTTAGGAGGGAAGGAGGCCCAGGCCAAAGGGCCGCCCTGTGGCTCAGGGTCTTAGTGATGCGGCCTCTGCCTGCCCCTGCCCTGCCCCGAGGGACAGCCCACTCTCCCTCTGGCCCAGCCTGCCCACCCTCCAAGGCCACCTGCTCTTCAGAGCCTCAGGGCATCTGAGTCTTTTCAAGGACTTCTGACCGGGCAGGCTCCTTACCCTTGGCCTCTTCCAGGGTGATAAATGGCTAGAAATCATGGCCCCTGTCTGGGGCTCCAGAGGGTTTCAGCCACCCACCCTCCCTAGCGCCTGCTCCTCCCAACACACGCGAACATGAGAAAATCCTTCCTGGAAACCGAGCCCAGGATCCTGAAGTGGGTGCAGGAGCAGTGGCCCCAACTCAGCAAAAAAAAAAAAAAAAAAAAAAATTCCAGAGGCTTCTGTGCAGCTGAGTTTCCATGGGAACATGTGCCCGTGGCTCCAATCCTGATCCTCCGTGAGGCTGGGTTCCCTTCCCAGCCAGGACCGCAGGACTTCCGCGGGCAGCCTCAGCCGGGCGCTGCCACCGCTCTGGCCTCCAGCCCTCACTAACCTGAAATCAAGTTACCGACAAACCTTCCTTTTCCCCATCTAATTTAAAGGCCACGCTCCCCTCTGAGGATGCCTCTGGGATTTCAGGGATGGATTTTTATGTAGTTCCATAGTTCTCTTGGCAGATGGCTCCTCCAGGAGAGGTGAGCCTTTGCCTCAGCCCAGCCAGGCTGAGGTGTACCCCCTGCTGCCCAATGCTAGGGGATGTCATTTGCCCAGAGGGGCATGGCCAGCTCTGAAGTCAGACTTCAGTGTTGGGGACATCAACGTGAAGCTCTGAGACACCTTCCTTTCTCACTCCTCCCTTGAACTGTGGTGGTGATTTTGGCCTCTGGGTCTTGGCGGAGTCTTGACAGTGTGCGGGTCAGGCCGTACTCTCTGCACTTGGCATGGGCCCATTTTGAGCGAGTGTCTGAGCAGAGGACACAGACACATGCTGTGGTAGAGCATTTTAGCTACAGCAAGGAGGTATTCCTTCTGCTGTGCCTGCCACACCCCAGCCTCCACCCTAGGCCCCTCCCAGAGGTAACCCCGAGGTCACATGGGAGTGTTTTCCTCTTTGCTGTTTTTATTTAGGTCTGTGGCACATGAGGTCAAAACCTAGGCTGTACCACATGCTAGGCGAGGGCACTACGCCTGAGCCACATCCCCAGCCCCCTTTTTAATTTTACTTTGAGACAGGGAGGGTCTTGCTAAGTTGCCTCAGACTTATGATCCTCAAGCCTCAGCCTCCCAAGTCACTGCCATTCTAGGGTCACAACACCACGATAATGCCAGCGTTCTTCACGGTTCTTATCACATTTATGCACACCTATGGGGACATACCGGGCATCTGCGGGGGTTCTGAGAGCTGAGGTGGAGCTGTTCTGTAGGAGTTGTCAGCTCTGGCTTTGTTCACGCGGCCCCACGTGGTGGGGATGTGCCCGAGCCAGCATGTAGGAGCTGCCAGACTCTAATTACAGCCGAGGACTCACAGGACGGATGGATCCTGATTTAATCAGGCCCCTACCAATGGCCTCTTCAGTTGTTTACGATTTTTCAACCTCGAGTAAGGTTCTGCGGGGAACATTCTTGTGTGCGCCTCCTTGGACACATCTACAAAACTTTTTTTTTTTTTCAGTTCTTAGATTTAACGGAGGAGTGCTCTACTACTGAGCTGCATCCCCAGCCCTTCTCACTTTTTAAATCTGAGACAGGCTGGCCTCCAACTTGGGATTCTCCTGCCCTAGCTTCCTGAATGTCTGGAATTACAGGCTCCTGTCATTGTGCCAGGCTACAAAACATTGTCGACTGGAAAGGGCAAGGGGCTCCTGGGGTTCAGGGTGTGGGCATTTAAAGTCCCAATGACGGTGCCCAATAGTCAGGCACAGATGTCATGCCATGATATTTGATTTAATCCTGAAAACAGTGCTAGGAAGTAGGGAACCCATAGCCCCAATTTACCAAAGCAGAAACTACAGCTCAGGGAAGCTGACTGGCTAAGGGTCACAGAGCCCGGGGAGGGCAAACCTGGGCTGGCTCCAAACCTGTGTGGTTCTCCCGCCCCCACGGGTCAGGTGAGGGTGATGGATGCGGGGTGGGGGGTTGCAGAAAGAGCCGCGGAGGGACACATTTCCTTCAGTTAGACTGTCATGCTGGCAAGGCTCATATTAGGTTTCCCAAATTGTACGTGTGTTGGCGGTAAAATAGGGACCCTCCTGCCTCCCGGTGTTCAGTCTCCTTGGGTCGGTGGAGGCAGCCCAGGGGGTCCTTGAGCCGCACCTGCCTGGCAGCTGGCTGTTGGGATCCCAGGTCTCTCTGGAAATTCCCGCCCAGCAGGCCTGGGATGCGAGTCACCCCTTAGAAGCTTTATAATCCAGGCTAATGCGGCTGTAATTGGCATTGTTCGCTTTACAACCCTCTCATTACCTGAAAACTTACTTTGCAAGTGGCTGTGTCTGATTTTATTTTACTACTTCGTGGGCCTTGAGGGGCCAGGGACTGCTGGACTTTTCTCTGTCTCCCCTTACCTGCCCCGTCCCCATCCCCCACTGGACACTCTGGGCCTGTAGGTCAGACCCTAGCTGAGCTCCTGTTCTTGGCTCAGGACACAGTGCTGCCCACATGCACCCATGCAGGGGCGCGCGCGCGAGCGCACACACACACACACACACACACACTGGTCCTGACCCAGGGGTGACTTTTCTCCCCTATCCCCTATCTTCCCACTGCCAAGCTCAACCATCAGAGCCTCCCTCCACCCCCTCCTCCTTCAGCGCTTCCCTGTCTCTGCACCAAACAGACTATGACCACGCCATGACCCTCTCAAAACCCTGTAGGAACCTGTGGTCATGGTCATTGCATTATCACTAAGGAAGGGTCCAAGATCGTTCCACAGGGAAGGAACAGGCTTCTCCGCAAATGGTTCTGGGGGTCCTGGACACCCAAGGCCACGTGGGGCCCACCTCACACCCACTGCAACCTCCCAGAGCCTTCCACTGTCCGCAGGATCCAGGCTGACCCTAGCCCTGCCCTCAGGGCCCCTGTCACCCTTCATTCTTTCACCAACATGGTTCAGCTTGACTCTGCGCCAGGCCCTGTGCTGGGGCTGGAAAGAGGCCCCTCCGTTTCCACCAGGGTCAGCGGGCTCATTCGGGACCCAAGCCGCATCCGTGGCTCCTGTACCCACTGTGCTGACTCCCCACCTCTGAGCCTGTGCTCCTCCCATTCTCTTGGTCCCGAGGACCTTCACCCATTCTTTGCCCAAGGATTGATGTTCAAATCCCACCAGCTCCATGAGGCCTCTGGGGGCCCCTCTCCCTCACCAAGTCTCGTTGGTCCTCTCACCACATCACAGCAAGTCAGTCCACACACATCCCGCTCCCCAGGAGGTCCAAGTGTCACCTCCACGGAGAACATTATTTTTCCCCTTTTGTGCCTGACTCAAGAGTCAGAGCTCTGACTCTGAGCCTTTTGTTTGTTTAAAAAGTAAACGAGGGGCTGGGGCTGGGGCTCAGTGGTAGAGCACTTGTCTGCATGTGTGAGGCACTGGGTTCAAGTCTCAGCACCACATATAAATAAACGAATAAAATAAAGGTCCATCAACGTCTAAAAAATATTTTAAAAATAAACAAATAAATAAATAAACAACAAGGTGGGTGAGGTGAAGCACGCCTGTCATCTCAGTGGCTCAGGAGGCTGAGGTAGGAGGATCACAAGTTCAAAGCCAGCCTCAGCAACAGCGAGGCGCTAAGCAATTCAGCGAGACCCTGACTCTAAATAAAACACAAAATAGGGCTGGGGGTGTGGCTCAGTGGTCCAGTGCCCCTGAGTTCCATCCCTGGTACCCCCCAAAAAAGGGGAAAGGGAGCTGGGGATATGGCTTTCTGGTTAAGCGCCCCTGGGTTCAATCTCTAACACAAAACAAACAAGCAAAAGAGAATAAATTGATCCTTTTCTTTGCTGGCAATTCAGTGCCTGTTCTTGCTGCAAAAGGAGAATGATTTTTCTTTTCAATTTGTAAGAAGTGATCTTTAATTAGTATGTGACCCATTTTACATATGTGAAAATCAAGCCAGACGCGTGGTTATATCCTCAACACGGGGAGAAGAGAGGCAATAAAAATCAGGCTCAGGAAGGTTCTGGAAGGC